AAAACAGAATCCATCCTTCTGCTGGATACAAGAAACACACCTCAAACTCAAAGACAGATATCACCTCAAAGTAAAGGGATGGGGGAAAAAATTCCAATCAAATAGACCTAAGAAACAAGCTGATATAGTTATCCTAATATCTAACAAAAGAGACTTCAAATAAAGTCAATCAAAAGAGACAAAGAAGGACATTTCATATTTGTCACAGGAAAAATCCATCAAGAGGACATCTATGCCCCAAACACAAGGGCATCCTCATGTACAAAAGAAACACTACTAAAGATTAAATCATATATTAAACCCCACACACTAATAGGGGAGACTTCAACATCCCACTCTCACCACTGGACAGGTCTGCCAGACAGAAACTTAACAGAGAAATAAGGGAACTAACAGATGTTATGAATCAAATAGACTTGACAGACCTCTATAGAACATCCCATCCAAACATAATACAGTACTTTCTTCTCAGTATCTCATGGAACCTTCTCAAAAATTGACCACATACTAGTTAACAAAGAAAACCTCAACAGAAACAAAAAACTTGGAATAACCCATGTATCTTACCTAATCACCCTGGCTTAAAATTAGAATTCAATAACAATACTAATTTCAGAAAGCCCACAAACATATGGAAATTAATCCATGCTTAACTGAATCATCAATGGGTCAAGGAAGAAATAAAAGAAAATTAAAGACTTCCTAAAACTCAATGAAAATAACCATGCAACATACCCAAATTTATGAGACACAAGGAAAGCAGTGTTAAGAGGAAAGTTCATAACACTAAATGCCTACATAAAGAAACTGGAATAATTCCACACTAGTGAGTTAACAGAACACCTGAAAACTCTAGAACAAAAAGAAGCGAATTCACCTAGGAGGACTAGACAGCAGGAAATAATCATATTGAGAGTTGAAATCAACAAAATAGAAACAAAGATAACAAAACAAAGAATCAATGAGACAAAGAGTTAGTTCTTCAAGAAAATCAACAAAATAGGCAAACCTTTATCCAAACTAACCAAAAGGCAAAGAGAGACTATTCAAATTAACAAAATCAGAAATGAAAAAGGGGACATAACAACAGACACTGAGAAAATCCAGAGAATCATCAGGTCATACTTTGAAAACCAGTACTCCACAGAACTGTAAAACTTAAAGACCAGACAAGCAAATTAAATAGAGCTATAAGTGCTGAAGAAATAGAAACAGTCATCAAAAGACTCCCAACAAAAAAAAAAATGCCCAGGACCAGATGGTTTCAGCTCAGAATACTACAAGATTTTCAAAGAACTGGTACCAATACTCCACAAATTGTTCCACACAACAGAAACAGAAGGAACATTGCCAAACTCTTTTTATGAGGCTACAATTACCCTAATACCAAAACCATACAAAGACATTACTAAGAAAGAGAATTACAGACCAATCTCACTCATGAACATTGATGCAAAAATACTCTAAATAATATTGGGACACAGAATCCAAGAACACATTGGAAAAGTCATCCACCATGATCAAATCGACTTTATCCCAGAGATGCAGGGATAGTTCAACATACAAAAATCTGTCAATGTAATCCACCATATAAACAAACTGAAAAAAAAACCCACATGTTCATCTCATTAGATACTGAAAAAGTCTTCGACAAAATACAAGTACCCTTCATAATAAAGATCTTGGAAAGAGTAGAAATATAAGGAATAGACCTAACATAATAAAAGTAATGCACAACAAGCCAACAGTCAACATCAAACTAAATGGAAAGAAACTCAAAAGCGATCCCACTGAAATCAGGAACAAGACAAAGATGTTCACTCTCCATATCTATTCAATATAGCACTTGAGGTTCTAGCTAGAGCAATAAGACAACAAAAGGAGATCAAGAAGATACAAACCGAAAAAGAGGTCAAACTCTCACTATTTGCTGATGATATGATAGTTTACATAAGTGATCCCAAAAAATTAACCAAGGAACTTCTAAACACCTTCAGTAATGTAGCAGGATACAAGATTAACTCAAAAAAATCAGTAGCCCTTCTCTACATGGATGATAAATGGGCTGAGAAAGGATTCAGAGAAACAGTACCCTTCAAAATAGCCACAAATAACATAAAATATCTCAGGGTAACTCTAACCAAACAAGTGGAAGGCCTGTAAGACAAGAACTTTAAATTCTGGAAGAAAGAAATTGAAGAAGACACCAGAAAATGGAAAGATCTCCCATTCTCTTTGTAGGTAGAACAAAAAAAAAAGGCAGTTTTACCAAAAGCAATCTACAGATTCAATGCAATACTCATCAAAATTCCAGCAAAATTCTTCACAGACCTCGAAAGAATAATACTCATCTTTATATGGAAAAGCAAAAAAATCCAGGACAGCCAAAACAATCCTGTACAATGAAGGAACTTCTGAAGGCATCACAATCCCTGACTTCAAACTCTACTACAGGCTGAAAACAGCCTGGTACTGGCATTAAAAATAGACATGGATGGAGCTAGAAAACATTATTTTGAGTGGGGTAACCCAGACACAGAAAGACAATTATCACATGTACTCACTCACAGGTGGTTTTTAAACATAAATCAAAGAAAACCAGCCTACAAACCACAATCCCAGAGAACTTAGACAACAGTGAGGACACTAAGAGATACTTACATAGATCTAATCTACATGGGAAGTAAAAAAAGACAAGATCTCCTGAGTAAATTGGGAGCATGGGGACCTTGGGAAAGGGTTGAAGGGGGAAGGGGAGAGGCAGGGAGGGGAGCAGAGAAAAATGTAGAGCTCAATAAAAATCAATAAGAAAAGAAAAAAAAAAACAGACGGGAGGACCAATGGAACCAAATCGAAGACAGTCATCAATTCAAATACCTTCGAACACCTGATTTTTGATAAAGAAGTAAAAAAATATCAAATGGAAAAAAGAAAGCATATTTAACAAACAGTGCTGTCATAACAGGATATCAACATGTAGAAGAATGAAAATAGATCCATATTTATCACCATTCACAAAACTCAAGTCCAAATGGTTCAAAGACCTCAACATTAAACCAACCACACCGAACCTTATAGAAAAGAAAGTGAGAAGTACACTTGAACGCATTGGCACAGGAGACCACTTTCTAAATATAATCCCAGTAGCACAGACACAAGTTTTTTTGGCCAATTGCTTATCAGAGCAAAGCCAGGCGAGAAATCTGAACAGAGGTATAGAGAGAGTAGGTAGAATCTAGGAGATGCTAAGTAGTTGCCAAAAGAGAAAGACATCAGGTGCCAGTCAGAACCTTACCAGCAGGACACAGATTTGTGGTGATTCACGGATTAATAGAAATGGGTTAACTTAAGATGTACAAGTTTGCTAGAAACATGCATAAGCTATTGGTCAAACAATGTTGTAATTTTTTTTACAAAGGCAGATTCATCAGTTCCTCCCCTGCAACTGTCCTTCAGCCTGTGGCCAGGCTGTGTAATCCCCTCCTGCAGGAAGCCCCACCTTCCTTACTCTAAAGTAGCCATGAAGTAGCCACTCTCCTTGGTCCCCATGGGAAGAGAAGAGCTGCTGGTGATTTGGCTTTTGCTCTGATGCCCCCACCAACACCACCCCAATGTCAGCTGCAATGCTGGTTAGAGCAGTTTCTGTAGTCTAGATCTTAGAAGCTATGGTTTTACTGTATGGGATGCAAAAACCGGAGTTAATGGGGTCAAGCTGACCAGATGGGTACTGCCTACAGCCAGTAGAGGCAGCCTTTAGTTGTGGCTAAGTAGGGGAGGGGAGGCCTCCAGCTTCCTTCCTTTTCTTTCCAGCACTTTCACAAGCACTGCCAGTCATCATTACTACATTCCCCAATTACGTTTTTTTAAAAAATTTATTTATTATTAGGTATACAGTGTTCTGCCTGCATGATTGCCTGCAGGCCAGAAGAGGGCACCAGGTCTCATTACAGATGGTTGTGAGCCACCGTGTGGTTGCTGAGAACTGTACTCAAGACCTTTGAAAGAGCAGCCAATGCTCTTAACCTCTGAGCCACTTCTCCAGCCCCCAACTATGATGAATACTTATGATTGTGGGTAACATGTTTTTTTTACTGAAAACAGATTTTAAAATCTGTTTAAAATTTAGTATGCAATATACTCTGAGACGGTTTCCACTCACCCTGCTCCTCCCAGTTTACGTACCTCCCCTCTCACTCAGAACCACATTTCTGTCTCTCCTTAGGAAACAAACAGCCATCTAAGGAATAATAATAAAATAAAATAAACAGTGGAAACCTAATACGGTAGTAATCCAGAACACCAGAATCTGAAATACGCCAAAGTCCAAACTTAAATTTTGGTGTGTTCATTCAGGTTTAGGCACACATAATGACTTCAAGATTTTTGAATTACGAATATTTCAGTCAGTGACTTCTATGAAAAATTCCCAAATCCAAGTCCAGTGTGCTGGTACATTCTTTAATTCCAGCACTCAAGAGAGGAGGCAGGGCTGTGGTGGCACACGCCTTCAGTCCCAGCACTTAATAGACAGAGGCAGGAGGATCTCTGTGAATTCAAGGCCAGCCTGATCTACAAAACAAATTTCAGGGCAGCCTGAGCTACACCACAGAGAAACCCTGTCAAAAAAAAAAAAAAAAAAAACCAAAGAGATAGAGAAAGACAGATCTCTGAGCTTGAAGTCAGCTTGGGCTACCTAGTGAGACTCTATCTAAAATAAATAAATCTCCCCAATCCAAAAATTTCTAATATTCGTGCACTAAATGAACCTCCTTTCTTTGTAAATCAAACAAAAGGCTTCAGAATATGACACACTCTATCTAGTCTAAGCATCGTAAATAAATATTCTCTGTATTTTCCCCCACAGGTGAGGCATCCTGTCTTCACGCCTGTGTCCTCAGTGACTGTCACAGCAGACGGATGCTAGAGATGATCACATGCCACAGCAATGGAAAGCTGCAACTGTCCTAAGCTGCTTGATGACCTCCGATCTGAGCACTCACCTCCACCTGAGTCACATTGACGACCAGCGCCACCACCATTAGCACTGCAAACAGACAGCAGAAGACTCGTAGTTTGAAGAAAGTGGTCCACATTGTCCGGCTGTGTCCTGATGACCCATGGCCGACACCATGCTACTTCCACCTTCAAAGCGCCATGCCGTCGTTTGAGCTGCGGATGCGTGTTCCGTTTAACTTGCTTCTAGTCTGCCAGTGAGCATAAGAGCTCTGCAGAGGAGAGACAGCGATGGTTCAAGAGGCATGTTTGCCTTCAATAAACAAGAGAAATGAAAGTCTAACCAACTGCCACAGAAAGAAAAGTCCATTCTCTCCCCCGGGCCTTATCCAAGTTCCAGTCACTGACACAAAGCAAAGGGCCTGGGAACAGTAATACCTTATCTCCAGATAATTGCTTCAGTTTCTTTTTCCAACCCCAAGCATCAATTCAGAGATGCAAATAATTACCTTATTAACTATTTACCTGATAAGTTTAATAGGAAAAAGGTCTTCAAACTCGGAAATTATGAAATAAAAGTAAACGTTAAATTTGTAGAGTTCTAAGTAAAACCGCCTCACTTCCCTTATAGCTTAAGTTATATAGCATCCCCATGTTCGTTAGCTGTAAAGAGTGTTAGGAGGAGGCCTCGTGTTTTTATACAGAGTCCCAGAACCCTGTGGGAACCATCCCAACCCTCTGGAAAGCCAGAATATTAATTACAACCTCCCCAGCAAGACATCAAACAGCCTTTGGGTTTACAGCTCCCAACAAGTGGTCCTTTCGTCCTTCAGGGAAGAGATAAGGTATAATAAAAAAGACACCTGTTCTGAAGATGTGGGAAAGACACTTCGCCTGAAGAATTTATAAGAGGTCCTGGTTCTTTTATCACAGATATTTAGGGGCAAAGGACTAGAGTCTCCTAACAAATTCAAAATGTTCTTTCCAGTTGCTGCTTTTATGTTGTCGCTACTGTTGCTGGGTTTGGGAGGGGGTGCTGCAAATCAGTAATGATTTTCATTATTTTTTCACTCCAATAAACATAACTTTATAAGACATAAAATTGCCATAACTTCTCTTTTTATAACAGGAAACAGATATCTGCACACCTTATGTGTTTGCAGAAAAGTAGGCAGAAAGAATAATACAAGCTGGGCGGTGGTGGCGCATGCCTTTAAACCCAGCACTCGGGAGGCAAAGACAGGCAGATCTCTATGAGTTCAGGCCAGTCTGATCTACAGAGCGAGTTCCAGAACACCTGGGGCGGTTACACAGATAAATGCTGTCTCAAAAAAAAAAAAAAAAAAAAAAAAAAAAAGAGAGTTCACAACATTTTCCAAGAGGAAAAACCCATGAAACATTTGCTCTGGATCACTTTCCTTCTAAAAAGCAACAATTCAGTAGAAAATAGAGGAATTTCTGTAGAGACTCTAATTTTCTTCTAGTGTACCATGGGAATTCTTGTTTCAAGAATGGCTTAATTTCTGTATCAGTGTAAGGCCATTTTGTTACTTTCTGTAAAGGGACAACTGAGGCACACATTGATGAGGTATTATAGCACCGGGAACATTGTCAAGCAATTTACTTAATTCTTGAACTTCTCTAGCAAAAGTCCTGAAAGAAAGCTAGACTTCTCTCTCATCTGTGATCATATTCTTTCTCCTCCCCCTCCCTCGCCTCTCTCTCTCTCCTCTCTCTCTCTCTCTCTCTCTCTCTCTCTCTCTCTCTCTCTCTCTCTCTCTTTCTCTCTCCTGCTGTTGTACACTTCCACCAAAAGAACATATAAGGAAGTAACTGTCTGTTTCCAAAACAGAAAAAGTGCTCTTTGAAGTGACATTTTCTTTTGAAGGACACCTTGAATCTCATTCCAGTTCTGTTTAGCCTTTACTTTTGCTCTCTGCAAGTGAATTTTATTTATACCTTCACAAGTCAACCCCTTGGCTGGTGCTTTACGTATGCCTACATCTTGTGGCTTGGGTACATTGGCATTGCCTGTTTTGAAAACCTTATTCATATTTACTTATATTCATTTTTATCTTCTTTTTTATTGTATTGCCCTGAAATTCAGACTTGAGTTGACATCATCTTCGGAGTTTAGAAGGGGCAGAGGCAGTCCTGATTAATCTACATTATCATCTATAAAAGTATCATCTACTTTTCTACTTTTTAAAAATTTTTTAATTCACATTTCTGTGTGTTTGTGCCACAGTGCACATGAGGAGGTCAGAGGACAACTTACAAGAGTTGATTCTCTCTACCATGTGCGTCCTGAGAACTGAACTTAGGTCCCTGATTCTGAAGGCAAGAACCACGGGGTCAGCCCGCACCTGTGACTTCACTGGACATCTTCGCCCCAGCTACCGTGACCGATATTTTCTCTTCTCGGTCATTTGGATGTTGTCCTGGAGAGCGTGACCAGAATCACTCTCCTTACTGTTTAGAGGCAGGACAGAAACAATTGTCTTTTTCCAACTCCCGTTTCTGTTGCCTGGCACCCTCACGCTGCCTCTGACCAGTTCCCTGGCACCCTCACG